TAAAATCAATTATTTGACTTTATCGATAATGTTGACGCCAAAAAAGCGCAGGCAGATATTTCCGTTCACATTTTCAAAGTGACACCAGAACAGAGTGACTTAACGACTTAAAGGAGCAATAAGCGATTTTATACTTTGCCTAATGAAATAACCAGTAGGTCAGTGTTCTCACAGCTAAATACTAGAGGTCCCATTCCCACCTGCTCCTGCAGAAAATCGCAAGCATTTGTTCTGCTCCCGTCTGCAATCGAAACGTTTTGTCCCGCTCCCACCCGCACAGCTCTGTTAAGGCGAACTGACATCCAATATCTGACACAGTCTATTCACAAATGCATGATCCTCTGCTGAAATCACAGGTCAGTCATGGTCATCAGGCTCACTGTGAGTAACTTCACCAAACGCCATTTATTCACCATTTAAACACAGAGCAGGAACTAAACCACAGAGCGGTTATTTTTGGTGTTGTGCTGGGCAGCTGTGGCCGTCGGCCTGAAGGCTCCTCCGTCTCTGTGAGCTACGAGAATCTGCATGTTGTTCGTGATCAGCAGCTCTTTAGAACGATCCTCGGATACAAACACTCAAGCGGTGAAGAATAGTCCTCTCCCTATCACGAACATCAAAAGGGGAAGTGATGCTACAGGTCGAAAAGTCAAAATGAACCAATCACGCAGCCCCACACATGGCCCCGGGAGTGGACAGCTTTCACACTGGGCAAAACACAGACCACTGATTTCAGGTGGACCAGAGAACGGTTCCGCTTTCACACTCGACCAAACGTACCAAACTCTCAAATCAAGCAGTCCTGCGTTCGGAAAAAAGCTCTAGTGTGAAAACAGCCTTAGATAAGCTGCATTTTATTCAAACACACAGATTATAGATCAGTTCAGTCTCAGTAGAAATGTTTAATAAGCTCAGTGACAGAAATTCATGATCATAGTGACCAATATTAGATTTTCTCAGTTAAGTTCAATTAAATTAGAATTCCAGTGGCCATTAAAGGGCCCATACCCTACACTACTCTTGTATTTTAGTGTTTCTAGTGTTTTTTAACTCCACTTAGAACCCTCATGTGGTTTAAACAGGCTGTTTCCGTTACTGTGCCTTTAAGACTGGCATATGCAAATGAGCACTGTTCTGATTGGCTGCCCTCATTCAAAAAGAGGCCAGGTATAAACTCACTGTCTAACTTAAGCGTGATGGGGCGGGGCTAAAAATGAAGAATAGCACTTTCTGTCCACAGCAGTCCTCTTCCTATCATGAACATCAAAAGGGGAAGTGATGCTTCAAGTCAAATATTATATTTTCTCAGTTAAGTTCAATTAAATTCAGTAGAAATTTTAACTGACAGCTTAAATAATCGCCCTCGCTTTCTTCTCGATCACTAACCTCCATCAGATCTGCTCCTTCAGTCCTGTCAGTCTCCTTCAGCTTCTTTCTCTCCCTCTCTTTCTGTTCAATAACACAATTTATTAACCTCGGATTTATAAGAACTTTAGGAAATAATGGGAGATTAATCATTTTTTTGTTTTAACTGGTAAAAATCTCATCTGACTGGTCTTCAATGGCGCCGCCGCCTCTGTCAATTTCCATCTACAGGTTGAGGGAAATAAAACTGTTATGATCAACACTATATGACCTTTTCACTGACATTAACTTACTGTAAATGACAAAATATGGCCTAGTCCTTTTTCTTTGCCTTATGTAAACACACAGTTAGCTAGCTAACAAACGACTGAGTAAAAGCCCGACGGCCAGCTATACTGACCATAACGCACCACAAACCCATACTGCAGGTGGGAGTCTTCACTCTGTACGTTCTGTTTAACGTACATAAAGTCTAACATTCATTTTAGATCAAAATCCTGTCACAGCTTCAGTCGCAGTTGACTGACGTCACCGCAGAGCAAGTCCTTCCCCCAGCTCTGATATGAAGGGCTAACTCTTGAGGTCTGATACTTTACTTCATTTCATTAATTCATTTCTCTGATAGGGACGGTGCTCATTAATCAACAGAGCAGAAAACACTGTAAATGAGCCAGAGTCAGCCCTATAACCTAATCTGCTGTCCCTGGTCAGTTAAAATGGCAACTTAAATTATAATAAGATGATTTATGACAAATAACACTTACAGATAATACAGACAGACTAATACCCAAACTGATACAATGTAAACAACACAACAAAACCAAAAACCAAAAACCAAAAAAACAGCAGGCAACAGAAAGTTCAGTCGACAGCTAGACTGACAAGGTCTGACACAATTGGCTAACAACTTATAAGGTCTCATATGATTGGCTTGCAATTTATGAGGTCTCATATGATTGGCTTACAATTTATGAGGCCTGATATGACTGGCCTACATCTAATGAGGTCTGATATAATTGGATTCACTGACTGACTCACTTACTCACTGACTGACTTACTGACTGACTGACTGACTGACTGACCGACCGACCTTTTTGCATTTTTATTTGCATCTTTATTTTTCCAGAGAAAAGCAGCAGTGATGTTATCTGGTCCAGTGAGAGGGTGAGACAGGACCAGCACTGGACCAGTTTAGGGCTCCAGTGTCCAGCTGGTTTTGTTGACCGGACATTAAAATGAATCTGAATCCATTCCATTCATTACAGTAGATAAAGACAGCCAGAAAAGACAAACTAATCGAAATAAAGTAATTACTGGATGCCTGTACTTCTCTCTTATTATTTCCCTTTCTTTATCTCTCTCTCTCTCTCTCTTTCGCTCTCTCTCTTTATCTCTCTCTCTCTCTGTATCTCTCTCGGTTCTTGGTTCTGTTATTTTCTTTCCTTTCTGTCTCTCTCCTCTCTTTTTCTCTTAGTTGTTTCTTTTTCTCTCTCTTTCATATCTTTTCTTTCTCGCTGTGCTCTCTTCTTTTCTCCCTCTCTTCCCTTCTCTGCTATTTCTCTCTCTTTCTGTTCTCTCTCTCTCTCCCTTCTCTTCCTGTCTCTCTCTCTCTCTCTCTCCCCCTTCTCTCTCTCTGTCTCTCTCTCTCTCCCCCTTCTCTCTCTCTGCCTCTCTCTCTCTCCCCCTTCTCTCTCTCTCTGTCTCTCTCCCTGTCTCTCTCTCTCTCTGTCTCTCTCTCTCTGTCTCTCTCTCTCTCTGGGTTTATGTTGTGTTGTGCAGGATGCAGATTAGTATGAATATGATGCAGCAGGTCTTCAATCACAGCCTGAATCAGCTCAGTGCTCTGAACTTTCAGTCTCAGTTTAAGGCGACATAAACAGTGATGAACAGTGATGAACTGTGATGAACTGTGATGTCACAACCATGAACGCACTTACACACGACCTCCCGTTCAGCCCACAGCACTTTAGCCCACTCAGGTTATGCAGTGATAAGGAGAGTTCAAACCACCCGATGAAGCTGATCGGCTGAGATTAGCTTCTTTAGCTTTAGCACTGCAGCTAGAAGGCTAATGTCTCTAACAAGCAATGGAAGCTATATGCCACAGATTAGCATGGTGCTAACTGCACAAACCCTGTAGAGCTGTTGGTTCATCTCTAACAGGCTTGACTGTGTGGCTTCTGACACTGTATGTACAGACTGTGGCACTGCTAGCTTGATGCTAGCACAACACCGGAAATCACAGAGGCGCCAGTGGAAACTAGCATTACTGTTCTGGTGCCAAACTGGTGAGCAAAAATATTTATAAGTTGAAAGTTTCTGCGCTAAACACTGTTACATTATGGTTCATTTATGGCATATTTTCATCATTATTAGACCAAAAGTAATGAAACAAGTATAATATAATACATAATATAATATATAAAATAATAATGAAGGACGACTGAGAGTTCTTGAGGTCCGTGGTTGTCAACAAAGGCCTACTCTAATTAAACCATTTTCCCACAGACATTAATTAACTAATTATTTATTGGAACACTTTTAATAATAATTTAAAACAACTTTAATGGTTTCTGATTTTTTCAACAGGCAAGAACATCAGAACGTCCCATTAGAACACTCTGACCTTCCAAGATTAGCAGAATTCTACGTCCCATTAGAACACTTGGATGTTCTCGAATGATTCGATTCAAGTTAGAACACTCTGACCTTCCAGGATGACCAGAATTCTACGTTCAGTCAGAACATCTAAACGCTCTAGAACATTTAAGTTCAGGTTAGAATGTTCTAACATCCTTGGATAAGCAGAATACCAGGTCCAGTTAAAAGATTTGAACGTTCTAGAGCTAGAACATAACGTTCTACGATGACCAGAAGTCTACATCCAGTTAGAACATTCTGACGTTCTAGAGTCGACTGAGAGTTCTTGCAGTCCAGCTGTTTCAGCTCTGCTACAAAGCCTCCCGCAGCTTTACTGCTTTATGTTATTACCAGGTACAAGTGGTGAAGTTGATTTGGGTTTTTCTCTTTACGAGTGGTTTCTACTCGGTTCCAGTGAAAGGTTCCCTCATCCAAATAGAAATGTCTTTACCAGGAACTGTAGCGAAGTCAAAACAACAGCAGCAGCAGCAATGGAAACTGATGGAACTGATTATTCAGTGGAGAGAGAGATGGAGAGGTGGAGAGATGGAGCTACTGCTGTTCTTTCAGAAGTAAATCTACACAGTTGGAGGAAAAACTGGATTATTGATCACCACTATCAAGAACGGAGAACGTTAGAGCTGGCAATAGTGAAATTAAAATAAAAACATGGTTAGGAATGATTTTAAGGACGTCTGACAACAATTTAGACCTTTTTCCAACATTATTTCAGCTCAAGATTTGAGATTCCCCAGCTTTTTTCGAATTTTTCCGTTCCACCTTAAATGGTGCAGCAGTTACATTCTGTCACCTCAGGCACCAGAACGTAACTGCTGCACCATTTAAGGCGGAACGGAGAAATTCGAATCAGAACCCACTGTACTGACTCAAGACATTAAAAAAGTGATTAGGGGGGTCTGTCACCTTCACGCACCCCCTTCACCTGTCCTAAAGCAGGACCCCCAGACCGGAGCACAGAGAGAACTTTAGCTCACCTGTATGTCTCCCCCCATCCATGCCCGAGAGTCTCGAGGTAGCAGGTGAAACACGCGCACGTCCATCACGCTCTCCTCCTCCTCCTCCTCATCTTTATCCGGACCCCCGTACAGACCCCACACTGCACTGTAATCCGCGATAGAAATCCTCGCGCACCTGTCCTCGCGCCCCCCGAGTCCCCGGGTTTACCGTGCTGTCTGTACCGCGCGCCGCCGCTGCTGCTGTGCTGCTGAAAGAGGCGGAGCGGAGGCGGCCGGCAGAGGGCGCTGCTCACTGAGACCGGCCAACCACGCAGCGCCTTCCACACTGCACTCCTCAAACAAGATGGTTCTTCAAGGGTTCTTCAGTAAGGGAAATGGCTCTGTTTAGAATCCTGAGTTCTATTTAGAACAGTTTGCGTGCTTAAATGGTTCTTTGCATGATGAAATGGTTCTTCAGGTTGAATGTCCGGCTTGTACCAATAGCAGAACCCTTTTTGGTGCTATATAGAACCATATACAACGCATTCTCAGTCTGAAGAACCAATTTACCATGCAAAGAACCATTAAGTATCCAAATAGTTCTAGAACGCATGGTTCTAAATATGCATTAAATGGTTCTCTGCATGGTAAAATGGTTCTTCAGGTTGATGGAGAATGTGCTGGTTCTACATAGCACCACAAAGGGTTCTGCTATTGACATTGTAATCAAAGCAGAATGCTTTTTGGTGCTATATAGAACCATATACAACACATTCTCAGTCTGAAGAACCAATTTACCATGCAAAGAACCATTAAGTATCCAAATAGTTCTAGAACTCATGGTTCTAAATATGCTTAAATGTTACAAGCCTGACATTGTAACCACAGCAGAACCGTTTTTGGTGCTATATAGAACTGTATACAACACATTCATTTCACCATGCAAAGAACCATTTAAGCATCCAATGGTTCTAGAACTCATGGTTCTAAATATGCTTAAATGTTACAAACCTGACTTTGTAACTGCAGCCAGACATTTACATCCAGTTTGAATGCCAGATGGCTCTACTGCTAGCTAGAACATTTTATTTTCAGAATTGGTAGGTTGACAGGAGCAGGAACATCCACTTTAAATGCACAAGAATAAGATTTTATTCTAAGCAATTCTACATTATTTCTATTTTTAAATGCACTCAAGGAAAGCTGGTTCTTTCAGATTATGTAAAAATAAATCAGTAAAAGACAAAAATGGAGATAAAGTTTCATCCTGATTACAGAAGCACACTGCGGTACTGCTGAGCCGACTGGTTTACAATGATTAATGTCAAAGTTTATTAAAACTTTTATGAGGTGAACATTAAAAATGAACTGCAGCAGCAGATCCATAAGCGCAGATCTTTACTATAGATCCATCTCATGATGTTCTCATGTTGGTCATTACGACGGAACCTTGGCTCGTATTGATCTCCTGACAGAAAGCCTCAAGAGGTCAATTACATCTCACCTATTGAGAAACAGCTGTATGGAGTGTGTTCTGGAGGAGCCTCAGAGCGAGGCCATGTCCTCCAGGCAGGACACGCTGTCTCCACTTAACCAGCTTCAGCGGACAGAAGAGTAACCGTGAATGAGGCTTCAGTGATTGGGGGCACCTCCACGTCCGTCTGGGGTCCATTCCAATCTCCATTCCTGCTCCTGCTCTAAACACAGAACATCTAAGGCTTATTGAAGGATAATCAAAACAGCTACGAGAAGGTTAGACATATGTAGAAATTACACCCACCTTGTGCTTCCACTAACCGGCCACTTTATTAGAAACACCCACCTTGTGCTTCCACTAACTGGCCACTTTATTAGAAACACCCATATTGTGCTTCCACTAACTGGCCACTTTATTAGAAACACCCATCTTGTGCTTCCACTCACTGGCCACTTTATTGGAAACACCCACCTTGTGCTTCCACTCACTGGCCACCTTATTGGAAACACCCACCTTGTGCTTCCACTCACTGGCCACTTTATTAGAAACACCCACCTTGTGCTTCCACTCACTGGCCACTTTATTAGAAACACCCACCTTGTGCTTCCACTCACTGGCCACTTTATTGGAAACACCCACCTTGTGCTTCCACTCACTGGCCACTTTATTAGAAACACACACCTTGTGCTTACACTCACTGGCCACTTTATTATAAACACCCACCTTGTGCTTCCACTCACTGGCCACTTTATTGGAAACACCCACCTTGTGCTTCCACTCACTGGCCACTTTATTGGAAACATGCACCTTGTGTTTCCACTCACTGGCCACTTTATTAGAAACACCCACCTTGCACTTCCACTCATTGGCCACTTTATTAGAAACACCCACCTTGTGTTTCCAGTCACTGGCCACTTTATTAGAAACACCCACCTTGTGTTTCCACTCCCTGGCCACTTTATTAGAAACACCCACCTTGTGCTTCCACTCACTGGCCACTTTATTAGAAACATCCACCTTGTACTTCCACTCACTGGCCACTTTATTAGAAACACCCACCTTGTGTTTCCACTCCCTGGCCACTTTATTATAGTTATTATAGTTACAGTATTATACTTTATTATATCTCTAATAGACTTGATTATGTGGTTTCTGACCCTGTATGGAACATAATAAACATGGACTAAATTATGTTAGCATAGCTAAAAACAGTAGCAGCCTGACTTTTGTCTGTATTTTGTCTGTGACAGTATTTGGCAGCGTGTAATGATTCAACCGTGCAGTTAGCAACATGGTAACTAATGCTAAGCTTACGGTATGTGCTAGCTACATTAGCTTCACAGCTCCAGCGCTAACGCTAAAGACCCAAACATGTCTTTGCTGATCGACTACATTTGGGGTATCTGAGGGAAACGAGTTACAGCTGATATTTTGCTGAACTGTCGCTTTAACCGTCCCTTATGCTAATGCTAATCTGTGACCCTCAGTGTTCTTCAGCAGTAACTGGTTCTGTTGAGCCTTTTAGCGTCTGCATAAGCTAATCAGGAGAGCGTGCTGTTAGCTAACAGGCAGTGGATAACGTGTGATTTTAGGCTAATGAGCTGTGAGTGAGTGTTGGAGATAAACCTCAGCGTCTCTCTCGCTCAGCGGTGAGTTTCACACTGTAATTGCTGTCTATTGTTCTGGAATGTCACAGCGTCCACCGCCCGCGCCGCTAAACACACACAACACGCATATTTTACCTTCATTAACTCACAAACGCTTTCAGAAGTTTTTTGGTTGGACTGAATGCAGGATTGTTTCATTATAAATGAGTTATTTTAACCGATAACAGTGGAGTAAAGAAGCAAAGAGCAGATTTAATTACTGTATCCACACAGTCGGAGTGGTCAGGACCGCTTCTGCACATTTAGAGGCCCTAAAAGTCCGTCAATAAACACTGTTTTAAGACATCAGAAAGACTGTATATAATTACAGTAATATTCACTAATGTGCTAATTTGATAAATTGGAAATTGCCCTGCAATGGAATGGTGACCTGTCCAGGGTGTTTCCTGCCTTCCGCCCAATGACCACTCGGATGTGTTAATTGAAATTTTATACGTTGTGCATCACTATCAGTCTGAATCCGCTTCCGCTTCTAATTTTAATTCTGATTCAGCCTCTGAATGTGTCATAGATTCAGATTTTGAATCTGATTCTGAATCTGATGTAACCTCTAATTCTGAAATTAATTCAGCCTCTGATTCTGATTCAGCCTCTGATTCTGAATCTGATTCAGCCTCTAATTTTGACTCTGATTCAGCCTCTAATTCTGAATCTGATTCAGTCTCTAATTATGAATCTGATTCAGCCTCTGATTCTGATTCGGCCCCTGATTCTGAATCTGATTCAGTGTCTAATTCTGGATCTGTTTCAGGCTCTGATTCTGATTCAGCATCTAATTCTGATTCTGATTCAGCTTCTGATTCCGATTCAGCCTCTGATTCCGATTCAGCCTCTGATTCTGATTCAGCCTCTGATTCTATTTCTAATTCAGCTTTTAATTGTGAATCTAATTACACCATTTCTTTTGATTCAGCCTCTAATACTGATTCAGCCTCTAATTCTGAATCTTATTCAGCTTCTAATTCTGAATCTGATTCTGTTTCTAATTCAGCCTTCAATTGTAAATCTAATTACGCCATTTCTTTTGATTCAGCTTCTGAATTTTGATTCAGTCTCTAATTCTGAATCTGATTCAGTCTCTAATTCTGAATCTGATTCAGTCTCTAATTCTGAATCTAATACAGCCTATGGTTCATGTGCCTCTGTGAAGTGTTCTCATGTGCTTCTGCACGACTGGATTACACACACACACACACACACACACACACACACACACACACACACACAGCTTTCAGCCCCCCCCCCCACACTCCTCCTCCTCTTTCTCTTATACCTGTCCGTCTGTCTGTCTCTCCTTTCTGTCCTTTATTTCATTTCTTCGTTCTGTTCCGTCTCTTATGTGTTCTTTTCTCTTCACTGCGTTTCTGCTGCTGCTGATTAAATAAAGCTCCAGTCTGTTGGATATTTACTGTAAGGAGAGAAACACTGAGCGCACTGAGAGAAAGAACACTGGCCTTCAGCCAACTGTGTGTGTGTGTGTGTGTGTGTGTGTGTGTGTGTGTGTGTGTGTGTGGGTTAACAAAGAGAGCCGTGGGCTGACGCTGAGCTCAGTGTGTGTGTATAGATGTGAACACATGTTGCTGTTCATGTGGCTGTGCTAAAGTCAGAGACCCTCTTTCATTCAGTCAATTTCCAATGAAATCGGCCTTTAAGTACAAGTTATTAAGTACAAGTGTCTGATCCACTCAGACCAGCACAACACACACTAACACACCACCGCCACGTCAGTGTTACTGCAGTGCTGAGAATGATCCACCACCCAAATACTACCTGCTCTGTGGGGGTCCATGGGGGTCCTGACCACTGAAGAACAGGGTAACAAAGTACGCAGAGAAACAGATGATGAGTGTAGAAACAAGGAAGTGGTCATAATGTTATGCCTGATTGGTGTATATACACATATTTATACACACACAAATCCACCAGTTCCACACGGTGAGAGGCAGATGATGTGTATCTCAGCCCCTCTTCATAGGCTCATAACTCCGGATGTGAGTCTCGTATGATCTCGTGATAAGATGGAACGGAAAGGGCGACTCTACAGATTCAGGAAG